CTGTCGGAGTCAGATGAGGACCTGGAAGGGAAATGTATCTACAACAAAGCAAGATTGAATAGTCCTGGAACCTCTCGACGTTGTTTCTCTTTATCAATTTTCTAGACTTTAATTCACAGGTTGTTCATACATATCAGTCTCCATATGTCCAACTCATGGAATTTCAAGTCCATTTACTGCACGCAACTTAAAGTGATAATCTTGTACAATAGGAATGCCATTAACGAGGCCCATTGTAGTTGGATATTACGAAAACGGACCGGCATTTTTTTTTAATATTTGATATATATTTGTATGAACCATATTAAGAAAAATTAGATTGAAATTGTGTTACCTTGTCTTGATTGACGTAGAAAATATAGACACTTTTTCGTTGTTTTACACACAAACATATGCTAATACTAAATAAAAACCATACGTTAATACTAAATTAAAAATAAAAACAAAGGAATTGATAGTTTTATAGTTTCATCCAAGTTTTATGGCCCCGGGGCCAGGGTTTTTGGTTCAGATGAGCTAACAGGAGGAGATGGTTAAGGAGCACCGCAATTATCACTTGTTCAGTTATTACCTTTTGTGGGGGTGTATTTTGTTTCTTGTTTTTTTTTTCATGTTTTTACATACATGCATAGAAGTGTTAATCCATTAAAGATATATTAAACTTTACTTTCAGAATATTAAAGCGTACGTCCTGGAGACCCCAGAACCACGGACTATTAACTCCCGCTATTCGGCCTGGGGAAAAACTTTTAAGTATTTTTTCCAGGCTGTAGTTGAAGGGGAAATTACCACTATTTCAACTTTCAAGAAAGACCTGAGTCTTAAACTAAAGAAGATATGCGTGAAAATACTTAAAGCTGCTGTAACCCCACAGTACGGCGTTGAAATTAAAAATGATAGTATTGTACGTAGTTCACTTTATGTTACATTTTTAATTTTGTTCAATTTAATGGCTTATATTTAACCACTTGTAAATCCAATAAACCAATTTATATATATATATTTATATATATATATATATATATATATATATATATATATATATATATATATATATATATATGGTAGATAGATAGATAGATATTCTCCATTAAACTACCAAAAACTCGCCTCATATGTTTCCTCCAAGTATGAGGCTACCACAAACACTAAGATAGTCCGTTTCTTTGAAGTTTCTGTTTCAATGACAAATATTAGAACTTAATTTATATCTTTAAGGTATAACTCACACAGTTTCGGCATACCTTATAGAGAAATAACTTGGTAAAGTTTATCGTTATTTCTTAAAATGAAAGAAATCTCTCTTATAGTAGGGTAAAGGAACCTTAATTGATTATATTTTTTTTTTGTTTTGCTTGTCAGAAAATTTTTGGTAGTGCCCCCTCAACTGTCAACTGAAAAATGTCTGGCTGTGCCCCCCAAACTGAAATTGCTACCTACGGACCTGTCTTTCTGTTCTTTTTCATCTCATCTCTTAGGTACACTGCTCTTGTTTGGCGTACTTGGTCCTTAAGTATTAATAAAATCAGTGAGCAACTAATAACCAAGACATGTGGCTTTTTACAGTTCCAGTTGTATACTGTAATATTTCTACTAGTAAATAATTTGGTTACTTGGAAATTTCAAGTTTTGGTCAAGAATCCGCTATTGTGGATATTTCCAACTAGCTTTGCCTCTTTCTGGGTATGCTTTCAATAAACTAGATGTTTATGGACCTGATATTTTTTCATCAATTTGTTCTTCAATAACTTATTGTTCATACGTGAAGCATTCTGGGTGTGCCTTCGACATAAAGCTCTACATCTGAAAAGAAATGCCTGATGACAAAGTAAAATACATTAGTAAAATACTTTGAAGGACATATATATAGTAGTAGTTCTTTATACTATTTGGACCTGATATTTTTTTCATCAATTTGTTTTTCAATAACTTACTGTCCATACGTGAAGCATTCTCTTGCGTCTCGAATCAACTAAGAGATATAAACCCCGTATGCAGGTCACGAAGGTATATTGATGCATAAGTAAGGGAAGTTAACGATTGAAAAGTTTAAAGTGATCACGTTTATCATAAAGCTTGGTTGTTAGATTATCAGTAACGTCTTTTTCTGGTAAAATATCCAAATATGATAAGATCTGTCAGATTCTGTGGTATCTTTTATTTCGAGCAAACCGGGATATATATCGTATCGTTATAAGAATGGAAATAATCACTGTTAATTGACAATACGTCGTCAATGTATCTTTAATGTCGAGTTGAAGGTCACAACAAGAGTTTTCTTCATTTTACCTACAGGATTTTGAACCAATTCTGCTTCATATGAATACAAAAATAGGTCTGCTTAAAACGGGGACAATTGGTACCCATTGGAATTTTTGGTTTTTGTTTGTTTCTTTAACGTCCCTGTCGAGAATAGAGACGCCACCACTTGCCGGTGGAGAGCTGAAAAATTTTGAAATATACTCGGCACTCAGGGCCTTTTAGCAGTGAGGGATCTTTTTCGTGCCAGCATCTACTGCGACACGGGGGCTCGGTTTATACGGTCTCATCCGATGGACCGGTCTCCACGTCTCACAGTGGGATTCAAACCCGCGACGTAAGGATCAACTCCTTACTTCGCGACTCTAGAGCAGACGCTCTAACCACTGCGCCACGCGGGCGACCATTATTGTGCGACATGGCGATTTTATCACTCTTCACGACAAATTCACGAACATGAACAGTCTTTCCTTCGACAATTCTGCAATGTTAGTTTTGTCGGTTAGGGTCGCAAGCATTGATCCAGATTCATCTGCAATACTGAAATTAAGAATGTCACCAGTCTGTCCATTTACATCTGTAAAACTTGGCCGAATGTTATACTCCAACAAGTTTTACTGTTATGCTTGCTGAGTATGGGGTAGGTCGGCTACAGGAAAGAATTTGTGTACCATCCTACAATGAAACAATATATCTGTTTAAATTTTAACATATACATAAAAGTTAACATATTTAAAATGTAAACAAAGCAGTATTTCATATAAAGCATTCGGTGCACAAAAGAATTCAGAGGATTTATACTAGAACTTTCATCTATAATCCCCTCACAACAGTTGGAGGGGATATAGTAATGCAATCGCGTGTGTTCGTTTGTCGGCGAATGAGTTAGTGCTGTTTGAAACGGAATTGACGTAATGTGCATCAAGTCGATATGCTCTTTTTGAGGGAATGCTCCGCCTTGCGGTACTCTTTTTACTTAAGTTCTAAGAACTTGAGAGCAATTTCTGTACATTTATTTCTTACAATTTAAAACAACTTTTTTGCCTTACAAAGTCAAGTTTTTGGGGTTTTTTTGTTGTTTAACGTCCCTTTCGAGAATTTTTCACTCATATGGAAAGTTCAAACTTAAAGTGAAAAAAGCCACAGTTAGTGAAGTAAAGTATGTAAGCATCTTTGATTAGTGTAGATTCAAGTTAATTTAAATCATAACCCACCCAACCCCTTTTAGGAATAGGTAGGGACCAATTATGCATTTAAGCTTTTCAATACTGGATTTGTTTTTGTCTTTTTCTTAGCCACAGTACTCAGGTGAGCGATGTAGCCTACTTTCTTTAAATATTGTCCCACTTCCTGCAGTGTATTACACCCTTATTGGCCTTGCTTTCCCTGATATACTCTTGACATTCGTCCATTCCTGGACATTTTTTTTTTGGGTGACTCATTTAAAGAGGATAAAATACCCTCCCCCCCCCCTTACAAAATATTAAAAAATTGTGGAATCATATCAACACTTATCTTTCCAACTGTTTTTATATAGAAAGGACAAAATCTCAAAAAATTACTGCAAATGTGTCAATTTTTTTCTATAAACAAACTCATTATACTTCAATCCTAGATAGTATTTGAAACTTGTACCCAAAATTATAAACAAGAGGCCCATGGGCCACATCGCTCACCTGAGTAACTTTGGCCTTGCTGTTCATTACCAGACTTCCCCCCTTGTAATACCTATTGTGGCCCCGCCCTACCCCCGGGGTCATGTTTTGAACAATTTAGAGTGAACACTACTTGAGGATGCTTCCACATAAGTTTCAGCTTTTCTAGCTCAGTGGTTCCTAAGAAGAAGATTTTTAAAGATTTTTCCTATATATTTCAATGTAAAACTTGTATTCCCTATTGTGGCCCCGCCCTACCCCGGGGGTCATGATTTGAACAATTTAGAATTTCCACTACCCCAGGATCCTTCCACATAAGTTTCAGCTTTTCTGGCTCAGTAGTTTTTGAGAAGAAGATTTTTAAAGATTTTCCCTATATACTTCAATGTAAAATTTGTATTTCCTATTGTGACCCCGCCCTACCCCCGGGGGTCATCATTTGAACAATTTAGAATCTACATCACCCCAGGATGCTTCCACGTAAGTTTCAGCTTTTCTGGCTCAGTGGTTGTTGAGAAGAAGATTTTTAATGATATTTCCAATATATTTCAATGTGTAAAACTTGGATTCCCTATTGTGGCCCCACCCTACCCCCCCCCCCCCGGGGTCATGATTTTAACAATTTAGAATTTACACTAACCCAGGATGCTTCTACATAAGTTTCAGCTTTTCTGGCCCAGTGGTTTTTGAGAAGAAGATTTTTTAATGACCCCACCCTATTTTTGTCTTTTCCTGATTATCTCCCCTTGTAAGGGGAGTTGGCCCTTTATTTTAACAATTTAAACTCCCCTTCACCCAAGGATACTTTGTACCAAGTTTGGTTAAAATTTGCCCAATGATTCTTGAGAAGAAGTTGAAAATGTGAAAAGTTTACAGACGGACAGACAGACGGACGGACAATGGGTGATCAGGAAAGTTCACTTGAGCTTTCAGCTCAGGTGAGCTAAAAACCACTGAATTTGTCAATTGTAAAAGCTACAAAAAAATTATCCATCAATTGTTCGTCCCAAATTCGCTTCCGTGTTTCAAATGCTAGCAATCTGGGCATAGACAAAATATTTATAAAGGTAAAGAAATATGTTTCAGGTATGATGAAGAGGAAAAAGATGACAAAAGTAACCTAAATGTAGGAACTGTAATGGTAACCATATGGCTTCCTCAAAACAATGTCCTTCAAAAATATCCTACAGGAATTTGTAACTGAAAAAGAAAATCCTAAAAGAATTTACAAAATCATGAGGGAATTATTTTTCCAAAGGGATCTTCTCTGTCTCCTGTAGGAAATTAAATTCCTAAAGGAGAATAAATTCTCCCATAGTAAATTAAATACCCTGCAAGGAATAATGAAATCCTGCAAGATTTTGAAAATATCTCTCAGGATTTTTTTTTCCTATGGGAACTTTATTTTTTCCAAGGGAATTTTCTTTTCAAAGGGGATTTTCTCACCTGACAGGTGAGATTTACCTGTAACAAAAGTAGTTTTGAACTCTGTAAGTGATGGTTTACATGGTAAAACATGGGTTTTATGCCAAATAGAGTTTGACGGGCGCCGATTTGCCACTTTTGCACTGTGCTATACATATTGTTCAGTCACGTTTTTTCCGTCGTCACACTATGTTCGCCGCCACGAAATGTCCGCCTTTCCGAAAAAATCATCACATTATGTCCGCCCTTACAAAATGTCCGCCAAGATTGAAAATAACGTTATATTTTATCATTTATATGTGTCCCGCTGGTATCCAACCTTTATCTTGATTTGTCTTTTCGCGCAATAAAATATATGTATCTTAAACAACACTTGTAATAATGCCTGCATTCAGATGAAGCCGCCAATTAGAATTTTAAAAAAGTTTAAACTGTATATTGTTTTAATCTACACAATCTCACAGACTCGTGTTGATGCTGACAATGGGATATATTATTTCTGAAGTTTGCAGGTTGAATTTGTTTGACGAGGTAAATAATAGACAAACAAGTTGATGAAACAAGAATATCAGCAGTCTAGTTTAGGACTGGACAGGAAAAACCATGAGACTCCATCTTGCTATTGGACCACCATTTAATTGTGCTTAAATGTAAGCGTAGAAGATGGATTAACAAATGGAGACTCCTGTTAAAAAAATATGTTTGATTACCGTGTCTTCTCATCACAGCGTGCCAGTATTGTATGGGTTGAGCTTGAAAATTCTTCATCAGGCTGTCAATGGTGACAAATATTCAAATCTATCTAAGGCAGACATTCCCCAGTCTTGGACACCAATACTGGAGGTAACAGGATGTTTTAACATTCAGCATTACAAATCCTACAATTTTGTTAGAAGGCAATTTCCCCTACAGATGTCTGCAGCAAAGACCATACATAAAGCTCAAGGGTGAACTATAAATAGTGCTGTGCTACATTTCGGTAGCAGAAAAAATGATCACATTCATTATGTTCGTTTAAGTCGTATTAAGAACTTCTCCAACCTCTATATCGTGGAATTCAATGCAAAAAACAATTAGCATTTGTTCAAATATCAAGGATGAAATGAATCGTTTGAAGTCAACATCACAATTGCATCTAAAATTACCAGATCTGCGAAACATCACCAATGATTGCACACCGATATATTTTCATAACTGTCATTCACTGAAGAAACATTTCAATGACCTGAAAAAAGACATTGTCTTGCAATGCATGGATACTTTAGCTTTGTGTGAGACAAGAGTATTTGAAGCAGATTTAGAACTCCACATTGAAGGACATTCTCTCTTTCGTGCTGATGACCAAAAGAGCAAACATGGTTTGGCAGTCTACTAAAAACCATATATCAACCAGAACCAAATGACTGCAACTTCAAGAAGTGGCATAGAACTACTGATTACTGTCTTGGACATTGCAAATATTTGTTTCATTTATTGCCCACCTAAATCTGCTACCAAGAACAATTTTCATGATGTCATGATGTTATGCATTACTTGTAATCTGCCGTTAATTTCTGTAAACCAACCATTTTAATGGGAGACTAATCAGGAGGCATTACAAAATTCTTCCATTTTAGAACTTTTAATGCACAGATACTCATTTCATTAGTTATTAAACACTGTGACAACAGATTATGGTTCATGTTTAGATTACATTTACATAAATTTTCCATAAGGAGCACCTAAATCTACATGGACCATTAGAATCATACTACTCTGATCACAAACCAATCTTTTTATCAGTGAAGTCAATAACATAGGAGTTATGATCTCATTTAATTCTTAAAACTTCTGCAGTGCCTGCATATAAAACAAATGCCTGTGATTAAAGAAAATTGTAAGCAATATTTCCATACCAAAGAAAAATTTGCTCCCCAAAAATTTTATTTTTTGATTTCCAAAACCTCAAAATGTCATAATTTTACTTTTCAAGATTATTTGTTTCAGACTACTCATTAACTGATTTAATGAGTCAGAAGGGACAGGTGCCTTACACTAAGAGCATTAAAATCAAGATTGTTGCAGGAGAGACAGAATTCACGTACAAAAATGAAAAGAATGACAAGAGGCCCAAGGGCCTTAACGGTCACCTGAGTATAATACAACAATTTAGAAGTTAAATAAACTGACAGATGACGCATTGTTGCCCTAGAGCAAGAGAAGTAGGAAGATCAGGATCAACAAAATAATTAGTCTAGTATTCAGTATCAACTCATAAATTAAGTTCTAATCTGTCCCCCACTTAACACTATCACCATGCAGACTATTAACAAACTATTAGTGCTTCTGTACTATTTTTAAACCCATATTAAGACCTCTAGCATTGACCTCTCTTATGGTCTTTGAAGAACTTTTAATAAGATAAGTTACCTTTGTCTCATTTTTATTTATCTATTACTTACAGGTCTACCTGATTATTAAAACTAAGAAAGTACTTTTTGAATTATACGATAAACATTCTTGCATAATTATCTTATTCTATTAACCTTTCAAATACATTATTTACAGTGTTTAATTATCAAAGGTGAATGGAAAAGGGGAATAACTTCTCTCAGTAGAATACAAGTTAATAGAGCCCTGCCCAGGACCAGAATGCTTAGACGAATGGTCCAGATGTTTAAAAATCTGGTAGAAATACACTTACTCATATCATTTAAACTTTTACTCAGTTTGCTTCCGATATGCCCGGAAGCAGAGAAGAATTTCACAGGTACAATGCATTTTCACTACAGATTCAACAAAGCCTTACCCTAACACCAGAACCCAAGACCAAGGGTCAAGAAATTTACAAATTTGGAAGAGTTACCCTCCTCATCATAACTATGGACTTCAAAGAATTAACACTTTTCCACTATATTATCAACCCCCCCCCCCATTATGCTAGAACCCCTGCCCCTAAGACCACAAGATTTAAAAATTCTGTTCGAAGTTCCCATTTTCTTCGTAGCTAAGCAATTTATTTATCAGCTGAACACTAAGGAGCAGACAGGATTAACTAATGATTAATTAATAGAATTAATGCTTTTTCACTATATAATCAATAGAGCCCACCCCCCCACCCCCCCTCCTCAAGAACCCCAAAAACTGAGGCCATATATTTAAAAATTTTGGAAGAGGCATCCTTGTCTATCATAATCATGCACTTAGTTTGTTTAAATAATCTCCAGTAGCAGAGAAGAAGATTTTCAAAGAATCAATGCATTTTCACTATATAATCAATAGAGCCCCACCCTAACACCAGAACCCCTGACCCTGAGGCCATGAAATTCACAATTTTTGAAAAGGCATCCTTATGCATCATAACCATGCACTTAGTTTGTTTAAATGATACCCAGGAGCAGGGAAGATTTTCAAAGAATTAAAGCATTTTCACTATATAATCAATAGAGCCCCGCCCTAACACCAGAACCTCTGACCCAGGGGCCATGGCTTTCACAATTCTGGATGAGGCCCACCTCCTCATCATAACTATGTACTTAGTTTATCATCTTAATGCCCAGGAGCAGAGAAGAAGATTTTCAAAGAATTAATGCATTTTCACTATATAGTTGATAGAGCCCCGCCCTAACACCAGAACCCCTGACCCTGGGGCCATGAAATTCACAATTTTGGAATAGGTACTCTTGCTCATCATAACTATGTACTTAGTTTATTAAATATCCAGAAGCAGAGAAGAAGATTTTCAAAGAAATAATGCATTTTCACTATATAATCAATAGAGCCCCGCCCTAACACCAGAACCCCTGACCCTGGGGCCATGAAATTAACAATTTTTGAAAAGGCACTTTTGCTCATCATAACTATGTACTTAGTTACTTTATTTAATACCCAGGAGCAAAGAAGAAGATTTTCAAAGAAGTAATGCTTTTTCACTATATAATCTATAGAGCCCCGCCCTAACACCAGAACCCCTGACCCTGGGGCCATGAATTTCACAATTTTGGAAGAGGCACTCTTGCTCATCATAACTATGTACTTAATTCCTTTATTTAATACCCAGGAGCAGAGAAGAAGATTTTCAAAGAATTAATGCATTTTCACTATATAATCAATAGAGCCCCACCCTAACACCAGAACCCCTGACCCTGGGGCCATGAATTTCACAATTTTGGAAGAGGCACTCTTGCTCATCATAACTATGTACTTAGTAACTTTATTTAATACCCAGGAGCAGAGAAGAAGATAATCAAAGAAATAATGCACTTTCACTATATGATCTATATAGCCCCACCCTGGGGCCAGAACCCCTGACCCTGGGGCCATGAATTTCACAATTTTGGTAGAGGGCTCAATGCTTATTACAATGATGCCAACAGTTTGACTGCTTGATGTCCAGGAGTAAAGAAGAAGATTTTTAAAGATTGCATTATTTTTGGTGGTTTTAGCCCCACCCCTCAGGCCCCGGGGGGGGCAGGGACCATGAAATTCACATTTTTTGTTCCCCTTCACCCATAGATGCTATATACCAAATTTTGTTGAAATTGGTTGAACGGTTCTTGAGAAGAAGTTAAAAATGTTCAAAAGTTAACGAACGACGCACGACGACGGACGAAAACAGATAGCAATAGGTCACCTGAGTGACTCAGGTGACCTAAAAACGGAGTCCTGGTCAACTGTGCAGTGGCCGATGAATCAAGAGCCATAAAATGCACAGTTTATGACGCCACAAAGTTCCCATGGTTCAATGAGGGGAATCCTGTCATTCTCAGAAATATAATAAAAAAGTGGATGCCGTGGTAGTCACGGTATTCCCTTGCGGTGACGTGAATGTGCCTCAAGACATAAGCAACAAGTTTACTACAGTTACATCATTGTGAATGGGATGACACTAAAGGTCCATACAGATATGATACAGACCATCTTTGAAGGCCTGACCTTCAAAGAGAGCATCCATGTAAAAGGATCTGTGAAAGGCACCAATGTAGTGGATATGCAAGTATTCATCACTTTATAAGAGTTTATATTTTTGAAAATGTATTGAAGTTTGTCAGATGTATTAACATTTTTTGCAACGTTTTATTTAAATTCCTTTCCTAAGAAATAACGCAATTTTATAAACCCGAATTTAATAAATTTTAATTTCAAAATAGATGGCAAATTCTTCAAATTATTACACTGATTTTCAAAATTATGTTGCTTTAAACAAAAAAAAAATACTGGTTACAGAATAGGCAAATGTCAATATATGTGTCCTTTTCAAATTGCAGCCAGCGCTTCAATCCTGCCAAAAAAAGACAAAGAAAGAATGGAAAGTGCAAGTCGGACTAGGTGTTGCCTGTCTTTTAAAGCAATACGAGCTGCAACTTTAATGTCGGAAATTTTTGTTGAAAAATTGTAATTAACTATTTCAACGACAGAAAAAAGAACACATAAACTTCTGTTGTTGATATTTGCGAAGGAAGAACTATTTATAAGCTTTGATTGAAGCAAAATTACATTATTGTCCTGTACAATATTAATTTTTTGAATAATACTATATATTTGATTGTATCTAAGAACTCTTTCTACTGAAACAATTTTAATACATGTACTTTATTTTAGTCTAATTGAGCATAAGGGTTAAATTACATAAAAATTTATCCTAATAACATATTTTAAGGTATGTCACTCGTGAAATTTGTTATATCAAAGATATTTTGAGAAGTATATTTTAGATAAGTACTCATATAGCATGAGTCAAAATTGCAAAGACAATGGACTGAGCTACGGTACAATTAAGTTGACCTTTTTGCACTTAAACTGTAACTCTGGTTAATTACTTTACTCTTTATCATATTTAATCAGATGTAGTTATGGCAATAAATATCTTATTTTACGTAAAATACTTTGAATAATACTTATGATTGAACAAATCATACAAAATAATGCGCATAAATTATTGTGTGACCTTTTTGCACTAAAAAAAGTATCAT